AAAGGCAACGTAGAAGCCTCCACCATCTTTGGCATGACTGTCAGAAATCAGCAACTCAGAGTTACCTCGGACAAAGGCTCTGGCTCGTGGTGCCATGAACCCTCCTCCTGATCTTCCAGCTGAGACGTTCTGAAGCCTGATAGTTGAACCATCATCGACTTGCATTCGACTCCGAGAAACAAACGCGCCGCCATCATATTTGGCGGCATGACCATTTACAACCGTGATCTCAGACATATTTGCAACGATGACCGAGCCTGAACGAGCGTAGAATCCTCCTGCATACTGCTTGGCTCTGACATTCTGCATGTGAATGCCGGACTTGTTTGTGAGTTTCACGTATTTTCCCTGTGCGAGGAAGCCTCCAGCACTGATTTCCGCGCTGGAATTGCGAATGTGGATGGCTGATCCATCAGTCGCAAGCACGCTCTCATTGACTGCAAAACCTCGATAGGTGCATGCAGCAAACATCGCACACTGCTCAGACTACTAAGAACAAACACTGATGGCCAGTCTCCATCTTCAGTCACGTAGGACATGCACTGACCTGAAACCTACGAAGTCCTACAAGCATTAGCGACAAACACGAGGGAGCATGTGCGGACCGAAAACCTCCTCCAGATCTTAAGGCATGAGTGTGCTCGAGGTCGACATTGCCAGCTGCCATATTGAGCATACCCTCTGCCATGAAGCCCCCTCCTGTTGCATTGCGTGGGCTTCAGGCGGCACATGTTGCAGGTTTGTGTTCCTAGCAGCCATCTTCATGCCCTCAACCTGTCGGGACAGTTGCCTCGTAAGATTTGCACCTAAGCGGGAACTCGGCACGCCTCCATAGCAACCAGACCACATCTACCGTTTCAAAGGGATTGTTGGACGGCGCACTTCCCCCCTTTTACTCGCGTCAGTAGTGCCCTGCTGCATGTGGCAACCTTGAGCCCTCAGCGCTTCCAAAAGCAAACCTTCTTGCCCGGACTGCCAGAAATCCATACGAACTCAAAGAGAAACAGAAGGACAGTCCTAATCCAGCAGCTCGGGTTTGCCGGACTTGCACCAGCGATCTTTCCTTGCCCCCAAAACCATTGCGTGGGTTCTGGCGACTGGGGTTTCTAGGACGTCAGCCGGGTTCGTGCTAATATCTCGTCAGAGCAATGTTGCATCCGAGAATCCTGAAGCCTCCTATTTGTTGATGCTTCGCAAGGGCAGATCTTGGGCTACATAGTCAGGACCAGAAAAGTCTGAGCTCAGCTGGGCATACGGTTGAGTTTAGTTTTCCGTCTTCTTTCCGCCGTCCTCTCTACAGACATGACAGACAAACAGACAGACAGACACCTGCCCGCTGGTGGCGGCACTGGGGCCCACACCACAACGACCACCTTCGGCGGGCTAATGCATGGGGCGGATAGGCCGCAAGGTTCGTCAGGACTTGTGATTGTGTAGTCTATAACTTGTTTGGAACTCGTGGTTCTAGAACAATATGCTTCGACGAACGAGAATACTGGGAAACTGGATCTGGGGCTTAAACATTAGTAAACTTAGGCTCCGCGATTGGTAAGGCCTTGAACTCGGGGATCAGGGTTTGGCTTGAATTTCGCACAAGTTCGGGGACGCATTTGGGAAAACAACGAAGGGGGAATCCTACCAAGGACTCCTGTTGCGTCGGGCTCCTGCATTCATCACCTCGACCACCAGCCCAATCGACCAGTAGAGGTTTGTCTATGAGGGCGGCAAAGGGTGCTAAGTTTAGCGATGATGTGGGGTACGAAGGACAAACCCAAGTGCTGCTTCAGGCTTGTTCTGGCCTCACCACTTGCGAAGAAGCCTCCACCTCGTGCCGCCGATGTCGCCTCCACAATGATTTGGGAGCCTCCTCGAAGACGCCTCTCAGGCAGGGCTGCCGAGCTGTGAGAGGAGTATGATCAACGGAAAGACTACAAGTCCCCGTAAACCTACCCCCCAAAGAGCTGCTTATACTCTTGTTACGATTACTAGCACTCGTACAACCACGAGTGCTGTCAAAGACAAATAGAACGATAACACCAGAAACAGCAACCACAACACGCCACCCCAGCCCCCACCCCCCACCCCTCTGCCGCCACCACCACGGTCATCATGTTGTCTAAATCTACTCTTCTCACCAACAGTGCTGTTGCTCCGTCGGCCAGACAGTCAGCTAGACGGCTGTCACAGACAGTTTCAATTCAGCACTCCGGCAATTCAAAGCTCCGCTTCAAGAGAATCACCATAAGTCCCAAGCCGTCTGAGGCGCTGCAAGCAGTCTCATGTATGCCTGCTATTTCAGCCAGGCGTCAGTGTTCCTGCCGTGTGAAGGCCCCCACCGTCCTCGTGTGGTGCATCATGGACACGCTCTGCCCTCATCTCTGTTTCCTACGGGATTTGGGGCTTGAAACAAAGACCCGAAACCCTTAAACAAGAGCCCAAATCCTCCGTCCTGCTCTGCCACGCTGCCGGCGACCTTGAGAAGCGAGGCCTCGACGAGGGCAACGTCCTCGGAATTGCACTGCATGAGTCCAGTCAGTCGGCCCTTAGGGTTTAGGAGTTTAGGGTTTAGGCCCTACTACAGGCAGCCTGATGATACCCAATCCTCACAGAGCACATGCGCACAAGCAGATGCCTTGCACACCTCCGAGCAATGACCTCAAAACGCGGTGCTTCTACGCACACCTACTCAAATATCATCAGCACGAGCAGACAGAACCATATCGCGCTCCATTGTCTATACCACCACGGCAGCCTGACAATGTACCGCATTACAAAAACCATGACTGGTGTAGTAGCCCTAAACCTGAAAGCAGTACTGAGGGCCTGAGGGTAATCGTAACTTGGTGTGAGTGTTTAATTATCATGATTGCAAGCAGCTCGCCCTAGGACGCGAAGGCAGAGCAGCTATGTGCAAACATGCAAAAGCGAAAACACTGGCAGGGCTCAACACGGCACAACAAATCATGTCTGAGCAGCTATATCACGATATGGCCGTTAGGATGGCAGATGTTCTGAGTTCCCATTTTGTGAAGCTCTCTGTAAGTAAGCATGTGGCCCTTCAGTTCTTCAAACGCGTCGAACTTGGTTGTTCAGTTTCTATGACTCCCCATCACAAAAATGCACTGCTGCACATCCAAATATCACACGACTGGATTCGGCTTGATCATGCGGATGTGGGTGGGTAACAGCACGCGAGCAATCATTAACCGACTATGGGAGTGTCCCTATGTACTCGTTGCAGCACAGCGTCGCCACCAGCAGCCAAGCCACCACCCCAACGAGCTCCGCCACCTGTAACCTGCGTTTTCAGTGCCCGCATCTCGAATTCCCTTTCGTAGGAAGGCGCAGGGCCTTGAACATGCCAACAGTAGCTGCGTTGGCACGCTACTTCCGAATGTCAGGAACTCAGAATACTGCCTTCTTCAGAAAAGATGTTCAGGTATGTTCAGTTTTGGCTCAGACTTCCCAGTCTTGGGGCTGGATGCTAGAAGTGAGAGCAAATTCAAATTAGCAAAGCAATGCTGAGACATGCGCAGGGTGGAAGAGAACGATGTAAGGGGAAGGTTTTTAAGCAGCAACCAAGTCTGACACTTCTTCTTCTTCGTCTCCAATAACCATGAATCCCAAACTCCAAACTTGCCTCGACACTGAAACCAATGGCTAAACCCACGATATGGCGATTGCGCCAAGCGGCTGTGATGTTCGACCTTTCCAGCGTAAGGGCTCCTGCCATTTCAACCAAGACGTGTTTCGTTGAGGCACCAACGTTTGTCGGAGATCCACACTCGCTCGTGCGCACGGAAAGCATACGTTTTGTGCCTGACAAGTCCCTGCTCTAATGTCTTGAATATGACAACCCTAAACCCTAAACCCTGAACTGAAATTCGCACAATTTTTGATCATCCTGGGCTCCTTTGCTGTGGAAGGTACCGCCGCCTTGAGCGGAACTGTTTGGCGCACTCTGCTGTGTCTCCACCTGGGCGTCCTGAAAGAAGATGCTCCTCGGTATATTCCAGCCAGTTATATTATATTCAGTAGTTCCTACCTATCGGCCTTTGCTTCTGGGCTTGAACATTTGGGGCGATCACATCTAAGCCAACTGGCACGATGAAGGCTTCTGGGCAGAGGGGGGATATAAGAGGCGCTCCGAAAGGCCTTGTCTCGAGGATACACTGTGGAACATGCGCCAAGACGTACTATGACGGATGCGTATATGGCACCTTCCTACATGGACAACTACGCTTACTATACTAAATATCATAGTTCTAACCTAATTCTAGCCCTACGACCACGGACTTGACTAGATGCCTCCAAAAGCTTGAGATGTTCCGTAGTTCCTGTAATGCATGTTGAAACAAGACTGATCATGAATTAACCTGTTTCCGGCAAGGGCGCTCTGCTTCGAAGCGCGCCGACCTCACGCGTAGGTTGCCGGTGATCCGCAATCTGCCTTCCGTCTGAAGCGTCACGAAGCCGTCGCCAAGGAGCAGTGAGGGTTCCTCACTGTTGCCAGGCCCCAAAAGCTCGCAAACAGAGGCAGTTTGTGGCCTCAGCTGCAGGCTTCAGGGTTCAGGCTTTGGGTCTTTGTCCTACCACTGCCGGACTTAGGTTCTTGCAGCTCTCAGCTTAAATCAAAGAAGGCGGCTGAATGCGGAAGCACCTGCCCACCGGTAGCTGATGGCCACAAAGGTCATCCCACTGGACCAGTTCGCAATCCTGAGGCCAAGAGGGTCGCCCTCAGGATCCGCAGTCCCGGCAATGCATTCAGCATCCGGCGAACCCCCGTTATAACAAGCCAAGACCTCTCGTAAACCCCAAACATCGAAAACTAGCCTCCAACCAGGCAGAACAGCACAAACAAATTCAAGACGTCGGCAGACCTTCATGAATCGACCGACCCGACGACACGCCCTTCCTGACACAACTTCACGATTGTGTCTGCCTGCTTTGTTTATGTGACTCCCGACTGGCTACTATAGTACAAGTCCCAAGTCCGGAACTTTGACTTAAACTTTAAACTGACATCACCCCCCGAGCCCTAGACTTCAACCCCAGGCCTCGGTACTCCACTGCAGACGCCGCCCCGATATCTCAGAAGCCGGTACTGGGCCTGGGATTTGCTTCGGTCGGTATCAATGCAATTTCCACACCCCGCCCTCCGGCAGTCGCCTGAATTTTGTGCGGTTTGTTTCACATCTTGTTCGGGTCTGTAAGCCGCACACCCTAAACTTCTCCCTTGCGAGCCAAAAAATTCGAGATCAAAGCTAATGGTGGGGTGATGGGCAAGAGAACCAGGATCTCTATCTGTCTGTGCCACTCGAAGTGCCCTACAAAACAGCAAGTTTCTGTGGGAACCTACCATGTTCATGCACATCATGTTGGTAGTAATATTTTAGGACACACGGACGTCACGCTGGATTTTGCATCTCCGCTCACTTGGCATCTGTGGTTGACTAGGGGCCCATGGCATTGCAAAACGACCTGCAAGTGCTGAGAAAAGCTTTAGGGAAGCTTCCCTACTACATGCATACACAGGTCGGTGCTACATTGCACCGTGGCGGTTGCGGCATGTGTTGGCGAAGTGCATGCCAGGCAGTGCTGCAGCTCAGAAATTGTCACCATGACTGGGCCGCAGGAGGGCTACAGCACCTAGTGCTTCAACATGCGTGGCCTCAAAATGCTTAACCTAAAGACTGCCAGGAGCTCCCCGCATGGCACTAACAAAATCTGGGGTCGGGCCATGATTCAGCCTGCCGGGTATCACGAGCCAGAATCAAAGGTGAAGGGCCAAGTGCAGCCAAAAGGCCGGCTGATTGAATGTGCTTCGTAAAACGTCCGGTGAAGCACGTGAAAGCCAGAAGCGCTGCTGGCACTAAAAGGAGCACCTTTGCTACCCGAAGCAATTTAGGATCAAGCTTCGGCTGCACCATGCTTCAAAACTCAGCACCGATCCTGTTGCCGCTTGTGGGCCTCACACGGATCGTGCGCACAAAATTGGATTATGGCACCTCTTGTAAATCACAACAGCAGCTATAAGGATGCAGAGGCTTGAAGTCTTGCATGCATGCTCGCACGGGTATGGGTATCGCTGCTGCCACCGCGCCGAAAATGCCCATGATATGTGCCTACAAATGCTGAAGGAGCCAAACAGTCGCATTGTTTCGTTGATACTTTCCCACTTAATAGTAGTAGTCGCGGTGGTGGTTCCAGTGGTGGGGCTAGTGGTGGTGGTAGTGGTAGAGGGAGGGTACTCGTAGTGGTACTGGTAGTAGTATACTGGCAGTGGTAGTGGCAGTGGCCGTGGAAGCGGCAGTGGTTGTCGTAGTGGTAGTGGTAGTGGTAGTGGTAGTGGTAGTGGGGTTGTTGTAGTAGTAGTAGTAGTAGTAGCAGTAGTGTAGTAGCAGTAGTAGTAGTAGTAGCAGCAGCAGTA